AGCTCGAGCTCGGCTTGCATGCTTTGTCTTCTAGCCAGCCTAGATCTCAGACTCGTTTTTTATTGAACCCAGCCATCTGTTACTTTTGGTTTTTACTTTGTGGTGTTACTTTTTTGGATACTAGGGTTTAGAACTGTGAGAACCCATGTGGGAGTTGCAGAAATTCTCTAGACAATGACACTGCAGCAACTCATTAATTTCGATTGATTAAATTTATAATTGTACGCATACGATCTTTATCCAGAGTTTCAACTGTTGTAAGAATTTATTATTAGATCCTTACATACAAAATCTAATTGTTGATTTTTAGATCACTACATACATACTAAATTGTTTTTGTATTTTACGTGTACCAAATCATCATATTAATATAATGGATTGACGAAAGTTAACAACATACACCAATGATGTACATTTTTAAATCCAAAGACCTCAATATATAAATTTTAGTTGAAGAATAAATTGCAATTTAGAATAAAAGTTCAGATCGAAGGTAATAAGTTGGTAACACATGATTTTTCTTTTTTGTTCCTTTTGGTTGAGAACATGCATGCGTATCAATTTAAAAGAGGCCAAAAGCTTATTTCTTCCTTATATTATTAAGTTGACCGTGTGGAAGTTTGTAGTATGCCCTTTAGCTCTAGTGATAATTAATTAACCATGTAACCAAACATCACTCACTCAAACCTCTGATGTAGTAAAAACTACTCAAACTTAAACCCTCTTTTTGACAATTGTAGTATGGATAAATAGGGATCATTCTAGGCCGAGGATTAGGAGGGACTGCTAATCGACTCAAATTAGACTCAACTACACTTAACTAGACTTAAAAACACTAAACTAGACTCTTATGACTCAAGGCTGACTCAAACTACTCAAAACTACACAAAACAAACAAATTGACTCAAAACTAACACTAAGGATGACTTTGGACGAAAACTAAACTAAAAAGACTCAAAACACTCAAAAGAACCCAATTTGGACATATTATAACTAAAAACACGAAATAGAAAGGGGGAGTTGGTTTTTGATGAATTTAAGACTAAAACTAAACAGATTTAAGACTCTAAATAACTTTGGACGAAATTTGTGATTTAATGGGTGAATGGCTAGCTAGAGGGTCCTTCTCCACACATGACACATATGCATACGAATCGATTTCCAGTTATTCTTCCTATAAACCATGAATGACAACGTCCCAAATTAATCGTGAGAAGCACAAATTAACTTTCAGATTTTCCTAAATTCATTGAATTAGACTCAGCGACACAACCAAATTATTCTTATCAAGTTCCCCACATGAATTGCATAATAGAGATACATATCAAAGATCATTAAGTTGTATAAAAATCATAAGCATTGACAAGGCATTCATAACTATGAACTGCATGATACTCCTGCCAAGAATTCACTTAACACAATCATGACTAGTGACTTTTACTACTTATAAATATAAGTTCATAACGATTAGGTGAAATTCCCTTATATCCTAGCATCAAATTCATGCATGCAAACTAAGTATGCACCCTTAATCAACACACAAGAATAAGTTATCAATCAAACAAATAAGTAAATTGCATTCACGATTCATGAAATCATAACTGAATGTAATCAATTCATATGCAATACATGTTCATGGCTTTGAATTCTCCTCTAACTAAAACGAAATTAGTTCCACATGTTCGCACTTAAACAAAAATAACTTAAATTAAACATTGAAAACAAAAGATAGAATACACCTAAGAACGCTCCAGCAATCCAATCTTGAATGGCAGGGCACGGCAAAGGGTCTCCTCTACTTTCTCCTTGCAAGGCTGCTGCACAAGAGGGATTTCTGTGTATGATGGATGTGTGGACGATTTTGTGGTCAAAAATATGTATTTATAGGCTAGGGTTTCGGCACAAAGGTTGTGGAGGAGAAGGATTACACAATCCTAGGGGAAAAGGACTAGGGAATTCAGCACAAAGCTTCTAGAAAGGGATATCTGGCAGATTTCTAGAAGAAAAGCAATAAAAGGGTGCGGCACCAATTTAGGCAGAGGATAGGGCTTCTAGAACCAGGTATTTAGGTGATTTAATGTGAAATTGATTCCCCCTTACAGCTGGAATTAAGGTAGGATAAGATTAGGATAGGATAAGATAAGATAAGGTTAGTTTGGATAATGTTGGATAAGATAAGGTTTTGGATAATGTTCCTTCCTTTTAGCTGATTCCTTATCTTCTTTGTCTTGACTTTACTTTCTTCATCTCATCAGCATATTCCTAGCCTCTTAAACTTCAAAAACGTCCATCCACCTTGCTCCATGCATGTACTATCCATTATTGGCCCAAAATTGCTCCAAATTGCACTTTCTTACCAACTTTGTCATTTGAACCTGAAAACACACGAAAATAGCTTAAAACACTCTAATAAGTAGAAACTAGCTATGAAAATGCAAGAAAACAAGCTAACTAAGTCGCATAAATATGCTCCTATCAACCTCAATTTGAATATTTTCTCTCCCCTTCACCTTCCCTTGCGACAAAGAAAATTACAATCTTGAGCTTACATATAGCAACTTGAAGTGCTAGAAGTGAGTCTCCATAAAACGTTTTGTAGTAGCATTTGTTTCAGTAATGCTTTATAACATACATGTATATAAACATGAATAGAACAAAGCACGTGTGATATGCTTGACGTTATAAAACGAAAACACAAATAATACAGGTATCAAATGTGATCAACATTTATGTTAGCTCAAAACTTTCAAAGAACATTAAGCAAAAACAGTATACAAATTTAAAATATATATTCTCTAAAAGACGCACAAAGATCGTGGAATTAGGGTGGAAAATATGAAACATAAAAAACCAACAATTTTGGGAACATGGAACACTTTTCGAATGCAAAATTTGGTGCCATGTGTTGAACCTTTGCTATTTGAAAGTACGAATTAAAATGCATATAATTCAAATTCAAAGATATATAGTTTGCAACCAACAAGTAGACTTTCTCTCAATGCATGCGTGTAATTATTGAAACCCCGTTGAATTTATATCTATAGAGGACTACTTTTCTAAACGGTACATGTGTTTTCCTTCAAATTTTTGCTGTGATCCTAAGTGTTTGACTAACAGCTGCCAAACCCTTTCGAATCAAACTCACTAGCCAAAGAGGACTGTCAAAGCTTGTTTGTAATATAACAATCATGTCATCCACCACTTAATCAAATAGAAAAATGGCTGTTATTCTCAACTCCTTTTATTTGATACCGAATATCTTATCATCTCTGGCTTTTTTGGTATATCAAGTAGATGTGTAGATCTTTATGCATGATTACTTCTTGTACGTGTAGTGATACCCATTTTTCATTCTACTGGACTAGATTGTTTTCGGTATATGATCATATATACAACTGATGTTTAATAAATATTATTAAAAAAACAAGGCATGTACGTATAGTGAATGTGTATGTGTACACTACATGATGTATATGGTTACGTTGTATAATGTTGATTTGGAGGTAACCTCTGTTTGTGGCAGGTCTCATTTGGTGGTTGAGTCAGAAATTTTATCATTTATTAGTATTGCGTGATTTTCTTCGCACTATCTCAACTTTTCATTTGAATTCATTTTGAACGTTGTGTCAAAATGAATCACTGAAGAAAATTTACGTGTATCTGATATCATATTTAATCTTTATTACTATATCTTTTGCAATTATACTGAAAGATCTTTGCTTCTTTAAAGTTGTACTACTTCAGCATTATAATTTTTTTGGTTTCTATCATTCTATAACATCATGTTTTTGAAAGAACACACTATCAATATCAATAATTCTCCCAAGTCCAGGGCAGCTGCCATGCCAGCTTAGTAGACTAGCCGCCGACAGAGCCGACAATGGAACCAGACATATGAGAAGAAAACAATGAAGTAAATACTTTAGGGGATTCCCAAAAAAAAAAAAAAATGGAGGTTTGACCGATCTCCTCGACAGTCCAAAGCCGCTGGGTGGTAGAGACAGTCAAGATTCGGTTTCGAAGTTTTATTTGAACACATATTTTACATCTCTACATTTAACTTGCTTTTTGAATTTGTTACTTAATACTATAGTTTAGTGATATTTTTCTTTATTTATAAGTTGTAAGTAAGAGGTCTTAGTTCTAATTATTGTCAAAGACGAATTTGAACCATGTTATTGCTAGCTTATTGTGAGATTTAGTCCACTCCCCCATCCAAATTTAGTTTCTAAACTACCCTCAATTATAAAACAAAACGCAACCCCGTTATTTACACTTTTCTAGTTTCTTTTCACCCACTAAACCCTCTATGTAATGCTCCCAAAACAAAACCCAATTGTTGCCAAAGTATACACTCTGTTCTACTGTAATTCTATTTATTTACTTTCTTTTCCAATCTATTTATCTTTACTTGCGTGATATAAGTCGAGAAATTGAATTATAGTATACTTCATTATTGGCAGGAGCTTGTCTTGAATATGTTGTATGCACTACTAAATTAAACAGTTTGCGCGACTAGGGATATTTTGTCGCGCAAAGAATTATTTGGTCGCACATAAACTATGGCTACCAGAAAATCGTCACGCATATTTTGTCGCGCAAAGCTCATGAAAAAAGACATTGCGCGACGAACATCTTCAAATTTGTCGCGCATCTAAACAATTGCGCGACGCTTTATTAGTCGTCGCGCAAAAGTTATACGGACAAAGGTTTTTGTCGTACAATATAAACGAGTACAAGTGCGTTTGTGGGTAATTTGTCTCAAAAAATTTTGCGCGACGAAAGCTATAGTAGGTGCGTGGTAATGTGCAACGAAGAGTAAAACGCACTTAATTTTGCACGACAACATTTCGTCGTCACGCACGTGTAATTTTTAATAATAAAAAAAGAATAAAAGGAAAAAAAAACAGATTTCATACTAATGAGAAACAAAAAAAAAAGCAAATTAATGAATAATTTGTTATTTATTTATAATATAAATAAAAATGTACGTACAAATATAAAGTTTTTTTAAAAAAAAGGGGAACAAAACTACGAAATAAAGAGGCAAAATCTATAGGCATGTCATTCGGAGGTGCTTGGTAATCTTGCTACTGGTTGGGGACGGGGCCAGAGGTCAACGGGCCTGATTGCGGTGCTTGCTCGGTGTGGAAGGGTTGTGAGGGCGATGGTGTAGAAAAACCGGAGAGATGTATTCCAGAGGAACTAAGGGCTTGTACAAGCATTGACATTTGAGACTTGTACGATGCCAGCTCACTCCTCAGCCCAGCGACTTCCTGCGTCAAAACCGTAATCTTTGACTACGAGGATGACGAGGCTCCAGTCTCCCGACGCCTGGAATTTCCCATCCCCCGACAATATGTCCCTAGCCTCTGACCTAAAGTCTGGTCCAACGTCTCTGTGACGATGTGAAACCCTGTATCCTCAGGGGGAATCCACAGACTCGATTGGCGTGTCCGAGGGAAGGTGGGAGGTGGACTCCTGAAGCACCACCTATCGCTTCTCCACCATAGTTGCCTGTGAAAAAAAAACATGGATTATTAATAGAAAACAATTTGAAAGAATTAGTATAAATGTTTAATGCATAAGAAATTACTTACATGAAGGGACTAGGTCAACTTATTCTCAGGCCGAACATAAACGTCAGCAAAGACATCGATCTCCGGAAATTTGAACCCTCTTAAAATAAAAAAAAGATAAGGAAAATGTTAGTACGAAAAAATAAAATTATTAGCGACATTTTAAAATTGGAAATGAAAGTTGTAATATATACCTTATGTAGGGCCTCCATCCTATAGGAGAAAGGCCTTGAACGCGAATGGTGGAGAAGAGTCTTCTTCTTTCAATTGATCTTGTTCGCCTTCACCTTCTTCTGTTATACAAAAAATAAATGTATTAGTTGTAATAGTTAAAGAAAATTAAAAAAATTAATAATAAACATTACTAAAAATAAAAAAAGTAAAATGAAAGAAGTCGTCATTAAAAACACACCACATATGTCGGGTCCTTAAAATGACCGCAAAGCCAAACCCAACTATCTTGTCGGTCCTCCAACTCCTTCGAATATCCCTCCTCAAGAGCGACCTGCGGATCATCAAACTCCTGGAACCATTGGTGCAGGTCACTCTTCCACTGCTTGTAGCGTTCGGAGAAAAGCCGATTGACATACGCGAACTTGTCCTCGTCCATGTGCTCCAAATTGTAGTTTGTCTACAATATAACAAATATTTTGAAAGCATTAGTAATAAAAGATAGTAATACATAAATATATAAATTTTACATGAAAAGCATTAAAAAGGCGATGCTACTTACGAACAATTGATTGCGCACCGTAATCTTCATCTCCTCCGGCATCACCTTCCAAGACTTCCACAGCATAGAGCAAAAGGTCCGCACGACATGCCCAATGTCGTGGGCCAATGCACTATACGGCTCCGCCGTTGGTGCTGCCCGATGTCGCTCATTGTATCCGATTGGGATACGACCGTTGGTCACCCAGGTGACCTTCCCCGTCTTCAATTGCCGACAAGGTCCCCGGGTGTTTTTCTTCGCTACAAAGAGATGAAAAAAAATCATTAACCCATAACTAATAACAAATCCTACTAAAATTTCGGCATAACCTCCCCTATAATTAAAACATTTCCTAAAACCCTGAAAATAAGATAAACAATATACATATCCAACACAATGATCACAACAGTTTAATAAAAGGTTTGGAACAATGAAAACTTTTTAATCCTTACATGACATAACAAATTGAACCTAAAATAAAAAAACTTAGTAAACAAGGGAATGAGGGAGTGAATTAGGATTGTATACCTGGCCGTGTACCGAAGGCATCGGTTGTGGATCCCGATGGCGGCATCTGATCCACAGTGAGGGGGTGTCAGTGAGTTCGTCTGGCGCTTGGTAACGCCACCGAAGAAGTCGATGATGCTTGTGCCTGTGGGACTGGATGACCATCTGAGTGAACCGGATTGACCGGCTTATGGTCCATCTCTGCCGGAGCAATGGCGGCAGTAGTAGGTATAGTCGTCGGACTAGGTGTAGCCGTCAAACTAGGTGTAGAAGTCATCGGCCTCTGGGTTCTAATGAGGTGAGACATCTACAAAATTGGCAATCAATTTGTTCAATACACAAAGATTTTGATTCTGTTTTCACATGCTTACAACTTCAATGGCTACAAAAGGATTGCTAATTGTTGATTTGATTTCAAATTAACTTGTTAACTGAAATAAACATATGGGAATTCCAGTCCATTGGCTGGTCAAAAGCATTTTCTGAATACATATGGGCAGATTCAATGATTTTGGAGACGTAGAAATATGAAAATAATTGAAACATTCCCATCATAACAAAGTTCATGTGCTCTGCGATTTGCAGCAAAAGAAGTTTGCTAATACCTCTCATGAAAATCTAATATATATATAATCTAAACTTTAATGGAGGAATTCAAATTACTGTGCAAAAAAGAAATTGGGAGGCCGAATTCAAAATTGGGAGGCCGAATTCAACAAGCAACACAATCGAGTCTATCATATTAATAAGGCAACAACAAAGGGTAATACCCCATTATATATCAACAAATCGTGGCAGTCAACAATGCAAATCCTTAATTTAAGAACCCTGTACTTCAATTAGAAAACCCCTAATTCGAACCCTGTACTTGAAATTAAAAAACCCCTAATTTAAGAACCCTAATCTAACCCCTAGTGAAGCACCCTAAATCTAACCCCCAATTTAAGAAAACCTAATCTAACCTCACTGCCCAAAATCGTTCCCCTAAGTTAAGACCTAAATCTAACCCCAATTAAGAACCCTAAAAACTCTAATTTAAGAACCTAAATGTAACCTCCAATTTACGAACCCTAAATCTAACCCCACCGCCCCCAATTTGAAAAAATAAAAACCCTAATTCTAACCCCCAGTCAATAAACAAAATTGAAACTAAAAACTGAAAAGGAAATTACCTGTTGGAGAAAAAGAGGCGATGGACTGAGAGAGGGATGGAGAGATGAGGTGAGAGAATGAGAGAGGGATGAAGATAGAGAGGAAGGAAAGAGAGGGTATCATGCGGGGGGAAAAGGAAGAAGAGGGAAGTAAGGGAGGAACAAGACGCACGGGGGTTAATAATATAGAATATTACGCGACGGAGGGTTCGTCTCACAAGGCTATACAATCATCGCGCAAGTTTTTTAAAATTTCCGCGAAAAAAAAGCCCTTTATTTGAATTTTCAGACAGTTGCGCGACGAATCAATATATTTCGTCACTCAAATATACTTTGAGCGACGAAATATATTGATTCACCGTGCAAGTTTTTTTAAAATTTCCGCGAAAAAAAAAAGCTTTAATTGAATTTTCAAACACGTGGGCGACAAATACATATATTTCGTCGCTCAAAGTATATTTGTACGACCAAAAAAATTTTATGAGTTGCGCAATTGTGTTTTAAATTGGTTTTTTTTTTTATTTTGTTTACAATTTATTATAAAATACAAACAAAACAAATTTATTTACAAAGTAATTCACATATAAAATGGGAACCATTCATACCATTTTTTCCATCACTCTATATAATGCATTAAACATTTCATGTGTTTTACAAAAAAATTACAAATAAATTGCCTTAATCTTAATCTGAACTATAATAACTTTCACTTTCGTTGCTATCATCCTTTTCAGTGTCCCATTCCTTATCATCGATAGGTACGTCACCATCGTCGTTCGTGCGCACTGGACCATCATCTCGTGGAATATTACCGAGGTCAATCGTGATGGACTAAATCGGTATTTCGATTGAAGATACTTCATCTATCTGAAATGGTTCTTGGATAAGATTAGTATCTCGGAGTGTTTCCACACCACTTTCCATGAAAGATTCAAGACGTTGGTTAGCAACATTGTTGATGTCGTCGTCAGTATGGTCTTGTTCTGGTATAGCATACACGTTCCTATGATCCATCTTCTGAACAACTTTCCAACCCTTCCCGGATTTAGGGTCATCTAGATACACAATTTGTTTTGTCATGGTTGCTAATATGTAAGGGTCATCATCGTACCAAGTTTTGGTAGTGTTCACTGATAATAATCCATGATCTGTTTTCACACTTCCATGCCTATTTGGGTGTGTATCAAACCATCGACACTTAAATAGGATCACTTAGCACCGGTCTTTATAAAGCAATTACACGACACTTGTTAGTTTGCCATAGAATTCAATGTCTGTACTTTCGCCTCCTCCGGGGACATGAACACCGCTGTTTTGTGTACACAACTTGTCATCTCGTGCACCCACTAAGAACTTGACGCTGTTGACATGGCAGCCCGAGTACAATTCAACGCGAATTGGTCCGAACGCTAAGTTATACAACTCTTCACTGTACACGGGGGAATTCAATGCTTTCAGTTGATTCACCTAATATTAGACAAACATTTAAATTTGTTAGTTCGAGCAACTTAATTGGTACAATATATATGTCCAATATTAAACACTTCAAACTTACATATTCGAGAAACCACTGCGGAAACAATTCACGGTGTTTCTTGGCATACAAATATGAAGGATGTGCCTGCTTCATCATATTTTCATGCTTATCTAGGTGTGACAATGTCTCGTCACAATTGTTGAGTACGAACCAATGTGCTACATCCATGTTCTTCTTGGAAAACAACTCACCACAAATCGGATCTCCGAATGGTCGAGCGACCTGGGCAAAAATTGAAAGTTTCTCCTTTCTCACACCCCGTCATTATTGTGAGGAGGACGATTGAAAGTTGTCTCAATATCTTTTAAATACATTCCACAAAATGTAAGTTCCTCATATGACACCCAAGCTTGTATAATGGATCCTTCGGGTTTCACTTTGTTTCGTACACTTTTCTTCAAGTCTCCGAGAAGCCTGCCAAAAGAAAATGATACGATACACATATTACTAATCGTAATATATTTAATATCGATTAATAAAAAAGACAAGGAATATATACCTTTCTATTGGATACATCCATCGAAAGCTGACTGGTCCAGCAAGCAATGCCTCATCTGGTAAGTGAACCATCACGTGTATCATACTTGTGAAGAAGGCTGGAGGAAATATCATCTCAAACTTGCATAGAACTTGCACAATGTCATGGTGCAATTGATTAACGTTCGTTCTTCGTAACGTTCTTGACGTCAATTGCAAAAAAAAATTGGACAACAACATGATTGGTTTCACTACATCGAGTGGCAAGAGATGTCGAATACCCACAGGAAGTAGGCGCTGCAGAACCACATGGCAGTCATGACTCTTTAAGCCAGCTAATTTACCCCCGTCAACGTTCACGCAACGCGCGATATTTGAAGCATACCCATCAGGAAACTTTACAAACGATAAAAATTTTAAAATTCTTTCTTGTCATTCGGTTTCATTGCAAAAAATGCAAGATCCTTTCTGGCTTTATAATTGTCCCTATTCATCCATAAACCCCGTCGCATTTCCATTCGTTCCAAATCAAGACGAGCTTTGATCGTGTCCTTTGTCTTGCCTTCAATATCTAGAATTGTGTCGACCAATGTGTCAAATACATTTTTTCTCAACATGCATAACATCGAGGTTGTGTCTCAATTTTAGTTTAGACCAATATGGGAGCTCAAAAAACATAGACTTGTGCGTCCAGTTCATATGTGTAGTAGGTCTTGTCCTAGTGACATTAGTCCCAAAAGAAGCAAAATCCAAACGGTTAAGCTGTTCTAAAATATGAGCACCAAACCATTCTCTGGGTCTGAGGCGATGCTCTTTCTCCCCGTCAAACTCTTTATCCTTCTCTCGCCACTCGTGGTCCCAAGGCAACCATCTTCGATGACCAAGGTAACAAACTTTTCCAGCGTGCCAACTAGATGTTACGTCTTCTTTGCATACAGGGCATGCCATATAACCCCTAGTGCTCCACCCAAAAACCATTGCATATGCAGGGAAATCGTTCACAGTCCACATCACTGTAGCCCGCAAAGTGAACATCTTACCAGTACATTTATCGTATGTGCGCACACCGTGTGTCCATAAATCTTTTAGCTCATCCACCAACGGCCGTAAGTATACATCGATTGACCTACCAGGATCCTCAGTTATCAATAAAGTCATCATCATGTATTCTTTTTTCATAAATTTCCATGGTGGCAAATTATACAGAAATACGAAAATCAGCCAAGTACTGTGGTGTTAGTTTAAAA